GCAGTGGCGCTATCTTGGCTCACTGCAACCTCTGCCTCCTGGGTTCAAGCAATTCTGCTGCCTCAGCCTCCCGAGTAGCTGGGACTACCAACACGTGCCACCATGCCCCACTAATTTCTGTATTTTAGTAGAGACAGGGTTTCACCATGTTGACCAGGATGGTCTCGATCTTTTGACCTCATGATCTGCCTACCTCGGCCTCCCAGAGTGCTGGGATTACAGGTGTGAGCCACTGCACCTAGCTATTTTTAAATTTTTAAAGTTTAAAAAAAATTTTTTTTGAGACAGAATCTTGCTCTGTCACCCAGGCTGGAGTGCAGTGCTGCCCACCGCAACCTCTGCCTCCTGGGTTCAAACAATTTTCCTGCCTCAGCCTCCCAAGTAGCTGGGATCACAGGCATGCACCACCATACCCAGCTAAGTTTTTTTTTTTTTTTTGTATTTTTAATAGAGATGAGATTTTACCATGTTGACCAGGCTGGTCTCGAACTCCCGACCTCAGGCGATCCGCCCACCTTGGCCTACCAGAGTGCGGGGATTACAGGCGTGAACTACTGTGCCTGGCTGAGATCCTCTTGTCTTTAAAAAAAAAAGTTTTGAGCCAGCACGGTTGCTCACGCCTGTAATCCCAGCACTTCAGGAGGCCAAGGCAGGCTGATCACCTGAGGTCCGGAGTTCGAGACCAGCCTGACCAACATGGTGAAACCCCATCTCTACTAACAATACAAAATTAGCCACGTGTGGTGGCGCACGCCTATACTCCCAGCTACTCAGGAGGCTGAGGCAGGAGAATCGCTTGAACCTGGGAGGTGGAGGTTGCGGTGAGCCAAGATCACGCCATTGCACTCCAGCCTGGGCAACAAGACTGAAACTCTGTCTCAAAAAAAAAAAAAAAAATTTGAGTGTAGCAGAGTCCAGCCAGTGGCTGAGGCCAGCTGAGACAGGGACAGGGAGCTCTGGGAGGGAGGTTGGCTTTCCAAAGGTGGGGCTAGGTTGAAATGACTCTCCCTCTCGTCCTCACAGCTGTGAAGATGGGCAAATCGGGAAAGGGTGCAGTGGCCAGTGATGCCCTCAAGGACCCCGAGGTGTGCACAGATCCCATCCAGCTCACCACGTATGCCATGGGCGTCAACATCTACAAGGAAGGGCAGGATGTACCCCTGAAACAGAATGCTGAGTACCCTGAATGGTGAGCGGGCCAGGCTGTGTCATCCTGCACTGACCCTTCCTCTGCCCCAGGAGGACCCCTTCCGGGAGAGGTGAATCCCCACTCCAGCCAGGAGCCTAATAGTGACACCTGCCCATCCTGGCTTCAGGGCTCTGCGCCTGGGTGGTCCCATCTTTAACAGGGGGTGATGGAACCCATCCCTCCATCCGAGGGCTGTGAGGGATTCATGAGATTAGAACGCTTGTCAAGTACCTAAAATGATGCTCATTTTGGCTGGGTGCGGTGGCTTGCGCCTGTAATCCCAGCACTTCGGGAGGCTGAGGTAGCAGATCACCTGAGGTCAGGAGTTTGAGACCAGCCTGACCAACATGGTGACACCCCATCTCTACTGAAAATACAGAATTAGCTGGATGTGGTGGCACGCGCCGGTAATCCCAGCTACTTGGGAGGCTGAGGCAGGAGAATTGCATGAACCCCGGAGGCGGAGGTTGTGGTGAGCTGAGATTGTGCCATTGCACTCTAGCCTGGGTGACAAGCATGAAACTCCGTCTCTAAATAAATATATGCTCTTTTTTCTTTAGTAAATACTTAAAAAAAAATTTTTTTTTTGAGATGGAGTCTCGCTCTGTCACCACCATGCGCCACCACGCCTGGCTGATTTTGTGTTTAGTAGAGACAGGGTTTCACCGTGTTGGTCAGGCTGGTCTCGAACTCCTGACCTCAGGTGATCCACCGGCCTCAGCCTCCCAAAGTGCTGGGATTACAGGCGTGAGCCACCGTGCCCGGCCTGCAAATACTTACTGAGCACGGACTCCATATCAGGCCCTGTTCTAGGCTTCAGGGACATGGAAGGACTCGAAATAGGCCAAAGTCTGCACCCGGCGGAGCCTGCTGGGGAGGCGGACAGGAAGCAGGAAGTCAGGCAGCTTCGGTGGTGACACTCCGGGGAAGGGGGCAGGAGGATGAGTGACAGAGCGGGGGCGTTTGGCTGCTCTCCTCTGAGGTCTGGGGGAGGAGACACAGAAGCAAAGACATGTGAGTAGGTGGAAGGGGCTTTCCAGGCAGAGGGCCCAGCCCGTGCAAAGGCCCTGGGGCAGGACCGCCCCTGGGGTGCTGGAGGAACAGCAGGGAGACCTGTGTGGCTGGAGCACAGTGAGGATCGGGAGAGAGGGCGGAGGCGAGGGCAGGGCCTGTGGGCTGCGGGGAGGGCTCTGCTCTGGCCGCAAGCTGATCTGAAGGCTGTGGAGGGTCAGGAAGGCTGAGCACGTGGGGGCAGCTGGCATCGTGTGGGCAGCGCTGGAGGCGGGACGGGGCTTGGCACTGATGCCGTTGGGATGGGGTTGGCTCCGTTGCAGCAAGGACAGGGACCCACCCAGCCCAGTGTCGGGGAGGGACCAGCCTGACATCACGGAGCCAAGCAGTGGGACTGGGACCCAGCCCTGTCGCCGCCTCTGCCTGAGGTGCCCAGGACGCCAGGGAGCCCAGGGGGTTGCCGTGTAGCTCTGACTCCTGCCCGCGCCCCTGTCAGGCTGTTCGAGATGAACGTGGGCCCCCCGAAGAAACTGGAGGAGCTGGACCCCGAGAGCCGGGAGTACTGGCGGCTGCTGCGCAAACACAACATCTGGCGCCACAACCGGCTGAGCAAGAACAAGAAATTCTAGCGCGGCGTGCCCAGACCCCCGACCCCGGACGCCCGACCCCAGACCCCGGACCCCCGACCCCCGACCCCGGATCCCTAACCCCGGCCCCGACACCGGACCCCTGACCCCGGACTCCGGACCCCCTATCCTGGACCCTGGACCCCGGACCTCTGACCCCAACCCCGGCACCCTGACCTTGGCCCCGAGGACTTGCCATTCTCTGAGAGAACGTTGACTTTTGTGTGACAAAAGGCGGCTCCCCAGCCTGGTTTCCCTGTGACCCCATAGTGGGGCTGGACCAGGGCCATAGAGGGCAATAAAGACCTCTGGGTACACCTTGGTCCCCCTTGGCTATTGTCTGACATCAGCCCCACGGGAGGTGGGCCCCTCAGACCCCAGGGATCCCAGCCTCCACCCCAGCCAGTGGCAGGGTGGCCACAGGTCCCCTGTACCTCCAGCTCTTGGTGGGCCTCTCTCCCCAACTCCTGGAATTCCTGACACCACCCATGAGGCCCCAGCTCTGACTCTCAAGTTGAAGGGTGATGGGGGGGTCCTAGCTAAGCCTCTCAGTTGCAAGGGACTCAAACCTAACAAAAGCCGTCAGTCAGAAAAGAGGTTTTGTGAGCTTCAAGAACAGATGCCGGCCGGGCGCGGTGGCTCACGTCTGTCATCCCAGCACTTTGGGAGGCCAAGGTGGGCAGATCATGAGGTCAAGAGATCGAGACTAGCCTGGCCAACATGGTGAAACCCCATCTCTACTAAGAAAAATACCAGTATTAGCTGGCTGTGGTGTTGGCGTGCCTGTGGTCCCAGCTACTCCAGACGCTGAGGCAGGAGAATCGCTTGAACTGGGGAGGCGGAGGCTGCAGTGCGCCAAGATGGTGCTGCTGCACTCCAGCCCGGGCGACAAAGCCTCAGTCTCAAAAAAAAAAAAAAAAAAAAAAGGCGATGTCCCGGGGTAGGTGTATGGCTTCAGGTGTGGCTGGATCCAGGTGCTTCCATTTTCAGACATGTGACTCTATCTCAGGGTCCTTGGATTCCCCAGGGGGTGGCACTCATGGGCAGGGTAGCCACAGGGCTCCTGGCCAATGTCCCCCAGCAGCACAGCAAGTAGAATCAGAATCACCTCTTACTTCCTGCCACAGTCACAGCGTGGCTATCCCTGGAGGCCAGGAGCCTGGGCCTTCCTTCCCCACCCCAAGCCCTCTTGTCCACTCCACTGGAGCCCAGGTCTCAACCTCCGCCCCCAGTCCACCCTCTGGGGTCTGCTTTCGGCACCTCACCCTGACCCCCACCCTGACCCTGACCCACAGCAGGAGTGAGGACAGGACTCCCTGCAGTCCCAGCTTCTGCCCTGCCCGGCTGTGATGAGGGACCAGTGGGGCGGGATCCCGAGGGCTGGAGCCCACCAGTTGGTGGAGGCGGGGCAGGGTGTGATAGGGCCTCTTGGTGGGGGTGGATCTCCTCATAGACCCCCCATCCTGAAGAACCCCAAGGGTCACGCCCTCTGCCCCACCCTTGCAACAGCAGCCCCACCCATTCCTAGGTGGGTGCCCTGGGGGCTTTGCGCTGGACTCACCCACCCTCCTGCTTCCTCTGTCCAAGGCTAATTCCGCCCTCCCAGGGAAACCCTGACTTCATCCTCTTAGGGGACTCTGGAGCGGATTACCGCGCACCTGCTGTCCCGCAGGCCTCCCTGGACAGGCAGGGGTGTGAGCGCGCCTTGTGTTGCAGTCCCCGAAGGCGGTGCCAGCCCTGTTCCCACCCTCCTGTGCTTCTCCAAGGTTCTCAGGCTAAAAATCAAAGTGATAACCACCGGCCCTGCCTGGCCTCCACGTCACCTCCTTCCTTCACCTCCTCACTCTGCTCCAGCCACACGGGCCTCCCCTCTGTTCCTCCAATGCACCAGGCGTGGTCCTGCCCCAGGGCCTTTGCACGGGCTGCGCCTCTGCCCAGCTCCCTTTCCCCTAGACCTCCCGCCCGCCCCCGGCCTCCACGCCAGCCTCCCCTCCTCCAAAACTCCCCGGTAAAACGGCAGCCCCACCACACTCCCCGTCTGCCCTTCCTGTTTCTTTTTGTCCCCATCACTGATCACTGAAGTCTTACGTTTTGGGTTTGCTTTTTTATTTATTGGTTTTGAGTCAGGGTCTGGCTGGGCGGCCCGGGCTGGAGTGCAGCGGCATGATCACAGCTCACTGCAGCCTCGACCTTCGGGTCTCCAGCCATCCTCCTGCCTCAGCTTCTGGGGTAGCTGGGATGACAGGTGTGCTCCACCCCACCCGGCAAATTTCAGAAAGTGTCGTGGAGACAGGGTCTTGCAGTGTCACCCAGGCTGGTCTCCAGCTCCTGGGCTCAAGCGATCCTCCCGCCTCAGCCTCCCGAAGCACTGGGATTACTGGCATGAGCCGCTGCGCCGCGCCTGGTTTAGCTTTTAAAGAGCACATCTTTCTTGTGCTGACTGCCGTGTCCCGAGTGACCGGCGCACGGTGATGCTGGGTGGTGGCTGGACGTTGGGCCTCAGGACTGGTGTGAGGTGCCACCTGGAGATGGGGTGTGCCGGTGACCCGGGAGCGATCTGGGAGCCTGGGCTGGAGGCAGGGAGGGTGGCCGCTGCAGCTCCTACCCTGGCCTGGGAGGTGGCCCTGCCCCCGGCTGTCCCGTCCTGTGGCTCCGGCCTCTCCTGCTGCCCTACGACCGGGGTGGACAGAGCAGGTGCTGGCCGTGCCCCTGCGGGACTGGGGGACACGCACAGGGCCTGGAGACGCTGGGGACGTGGGGAGCAGAGGCTGACAATGACGACACGGCCTCAGCCTCGCCTGCCTCTGCATGAGGGTCCCACCAGTCCCTGGCCCGGGACCCACCCTCCCTCCAGAACCTGCTGCCGTGCCTCGGATGGTGGGAACGGGGATCAGTCTGAAAGGCAGCTCCACCCACTCCTGGCCATGCAACCGCGGGGACCTGGCTTCCTGCCTGAGCCCCGCTTTCCCTCTCTGTAGAGTGGGCTGACAGCCGTGCCTGAGGTCCAGGGCGGACTGGAGGGGGGACACTGGCACAGCGGGCACACGGTGAGTGGAGGCCAGGCTCGCCAGAGCTGCTGTTACTTGTCATCTCCTGGGGACAGGGAGCCCTGGAGAGCAGGCGTCTCTGCTGACGGGGATTAGGGGCAGGCAGAGAGATTTAGACTCATGTCACAGAGTCATCAGCCCAGCCACCCACAGCCTCCCAGCCCGGGAATCTCAGACGCGCCTATGCCCACTTAACAGACGGGGAGACTGAGGCCCGAGGAGGGGAGGAGGGCCCTGCCCCAGGCCTGGGAATGCTCAGAACATCTCCTGCCTGACACTTAGGGCCCGTCCGCTGCCAGCAGGATGGGTGGTGATGGGTGGGGGATGGGGACCGGGCCGGGGGCCGGAGACCCAGCAGGCTGTCCCTCTGGTCCCGTTCCCCAGTGATGGCAGGTCTGACCATGGTTGCTCCGTGACCTCGGCCTAGCCCAAGGCGTGGTGGCTGTCACCAGGGCACGTCCCCGGCTCTCGGGTGGGGCCGAGGAGGGGCCTGGGAGGGCGCAGGCTCAGGCTGGCGGCCAGGCCCTGTCCAGGGGCTGCGCGTGCTCCTTCGCCAGCAGCCGCAGAGACGCCTCCTCCAGGGCGAAGCCGTCCGCGAAGGGGGGACCAAAGGCGTGGGGCGAGAAGGACGCTTGCAGCCCCGGGCCCGGGCCCAGGAGGCGGGGCAGGCCTGGCACAGCTGGCGGTCCGGGGCCCAGCCAGGGCTCCAGGGGCAGCGGCACGGCCGGGGGGCGGGCGAACGGCAGCGCTGGGGCCTCGGGGAGTCTCGGGGCTGTCACAGTGCCTGAGCCCGACTCCAGCCGCTCCTGGCGCCGCCACTTGGCCCGGCGGTTCTGGAACCACACCTAGAGGGTGCCCGAGGGTGCTGTGAGCTCAGTCCCTCCCTGCCACTCCTTGGATCCTCTCTGCACACCCCAGCCCCGGGGGTTCTGCCGCCTGTCTGGCCCGACTCCCACCTGCTCTTTCACTGTTCTGCCCAAAACGACGAACCTGAAAAGGATCCGGCCCCTCCCGACCGTGCCCTAAGCGCAGGCTCCCCTTGAACTCCTCACTCCCCTCCACGGTCTCCCGTGGCCCTCAGCAAGAAACCTGAGCTGCCCAACTCGGCATTCAGGGCCTTCAAAAGCGCCGTTACCCGCCATTCTCTGCCTCCTCCTTCACCCACCTCACACTCAGCGCAAGGGAAACGCCTGCAACTTATGCCCTCCACATCTTTGCACACACTGTTTGGGAAACCTAGAAAAATGCCGTTTCCTTCCCAGCTGGCATACTCCTACTCAAACGTCAAAACCTCAGCTCCCACACCCCCTCCTCCAGGAAGCCTTCCCAGCTTCTCTTCTGCTCAGGCACCGGGAGAGTCAGGATCTCACTTCGCCTCCCTCCCTAGGTGGTGGGAGATGTTGGGGGGGTGCCCTCACCTGTACCCGCACCTCAGGCAGGTGCACCTTGGCCGCCAGCTCCTCGCGGCTGTACACATCCGGGTAGTGGGAGGCCTCGAACGCCCGCTCTAGCTGGTGCAGCTGGTAGGTGGTGAAGGTCGTGCGGTTCCTCCGGTGTTTCTTCTTGGGGGCCTCCTCACCCGGCCCCAGACCCCCACCCTCGGCCACCGGCCCCTCGCCCGGGCTCAGGAGCATGGCTCCCACCTGGAGGGATGGCAGCGGGACAGATGGCGGGGAGGCGGGCAGGGACAGGGCGGGGGAGCCCCAGGCTTGCCTCCCGGCTCTGGGGAAATCCGCTCCCTCCACTGGGGCCAGCATGGGCTCCACATTCCCGGCTGGCCTCCTGGGCGTGGGGGTCTCCCCCTGGACCTCTGTCTGCTCTTCCTTCTCTCTGCGTGTGTCACCGTCCCTGTTTTCTCTTCCCCTCTCTGTGACTGTCATGGCCTGTGTGTGTGTGTGGGTGTGTGGTGGGGGGGGGTAGAGGATGCCCCACCCAGGAGGGCAGGATCTCTCCCTCGTCCTAAGCCCTACAACCTGGGGGGATCCCTGCCCCCACCACCTCCCACCCAGGCCCACCGGTGCCCGTCCCACACTCACCGCCCACGGCAGCCCCTCCGTCTATCTCCACGGGGCACCTGCCCCGGCGGCCCGGCGCCGCGTCTGCCAGGTCGGGGTTGGGGGAGGGGGTGAGGATTAGCTCCAGGTGCTTAATTGACGCGGCCCCTCCCGCTCTGACTCGGGCTGTTCTGAGCCACGAGGGAGGGCAGGTGGGCGGAGGGCTGGGCTCTGAGGTGTGGCTGGGGAGATCGTCCGCCAGGCTCCACTGCCCCTCGCCATAGGATGCCAACGGACTCTCCCTCTCTGGGCCTCAGTTTCCCTGACTGTAAAACTGCCACAATAGGACCTACCCTGGGGGGTATTTCACTTTCTCAGAGCATTGCACAGGGATTGGCATACAGGGGGCACTTAATGAATGCCCACCGTTCATATTGTTATCAGCCGGGGGCAGAAAAAGGGGGCTTAAGACTCACAGATGTCAGAGGGGGCTGGGGAAGCTGAGTTCCCAGAGGTGAAAGCACTGCAGTTGGTTCCTCTGGACACAAGGGGCAGGGGCCCTTTTAGCTGGGTCTTGAGGTATGAATAGAAGTTCACCATTCACAGCTTGGCTAGGTGCCTCACACCTGTTATCCCAGCATTTTGGGAGGCCAAGGCAGGTGGATCGCCTGAGGTCAAGAGTTTGAGACCAGCCTCGCCAACATGGCAAAACCCTGTCTACTAAAAATACAAAAATTATCCAAGTGTGGTGGCGGGCACCTGTGATCCCAGCTACGTGGGAGGCTGAGGCAGGAGAATCGCTTGAACCTGGGGGAGGTGGAGGTTGCAGTGAGCTGAGATTGCAGCACTGCACTACAGCCTGGGCAAGAGTTAAACTCCATCTCAAAAAAAAAAAAGTTCACTATTTATGCCAATAAACATTTATTGAGCACTTACTGTGTACCAGGTACTGCTCACAGCAGTAGTGACCAAAACAGACATCACGGAGCAGAGTGTCTAGCAGGACAGACAACGGTGTTAAAATGCAGAGTGTGTCCAGTGTCCACGAGCCTGGAGAGAAAACCCACAGGGGGAAGGGCATGTGGGGCAAGATGGGTTGCTATTTAATTTAGGTTTTTTTTTTTTTTTTTTTTTTTTTTTAGACGGGGTCTTTCCCTTTTCCCCCAGGCTAGAGTGCAGTGGTGAGATCTCAGCTCACTGCAACATCTGCCTTCCAGGTTCCAGCGATTCTCCTGCCTCACCCTCCTGAGTAGCTGGGATTACAGGTGTGCACCACCACACCTGGCTAAATTTTGTATTTTTAGTAGAGATGGGAGTTCACCATATTGGCCAGGCTGGTCTCGAACTCCTGACCTCATGATCCACCTACCTTGGCCTCCCAAAGTGCTGGGATTACAGGTGTGAGCCACCGCACCCGGCCTATTTTTGTGTTTTTGAGACTGGGTCTCCATCTATTGCCCAGGCTGGAGTGCAGTGGTGCGGTCTCGGCTCACTGCTACCTCCGCCTCCTGGGTTCAAGCGATTCTCCTGCCTCAGCCTCCCCAGTAGCTGGGATTACAGGTGCATGCCACCACACCCGGCTAATTTTTATATTTTTACTAGAGATAGGTTTCACCGTGTTGCCCAGTCTGGTCTTGAACTCCCAACCTCAGGTGATCTGCCTGCCTTGGCCTCCCGAAATGCTGGGATTCCAGGTGTGAGCCACCACTGCTGGCCAGGTTGCTATGTTAAGGAAGGTGGTGAGAATGGAAGATGGGGCGCAAACTGCAGGTTGTAGACACGTTGGGTGTGAAGTTCGCGGTGCTGGGGAGCCATGGGAGGCTGCGGAGCCGGGATACAGCGGCATCTTATACAAACATCGGTGAAGAGCAGCTGAGACACCCGGGGCAGGCGCCAGGCAGGTGGGGCTGCAGGGCCTGGTCAGGGCAAGGGCCGGGGCGGTGGGGAGGACAGAAGGGAGTGGGGAGTGATTCCAGAGGAAGGAAGTTTGGGAGGGGCAGGGTGTGGGCGTGGGGGGGCAAGGGCAATACCCGGGCCCCTTCTGGGCTGTGAGGTGGGACTGTGTCGGAAGCAGACGCCTCAGAGGTGGAGCGGGCTCCTCCGGGAAGCCCCAGAGACCAGGATCCCCCAAGTCCAAGGAGCCAGGAGGCTGGAGCTCAGGCAGGGGAGGGCCCTAAGCACAGAGAGGAGGGGGTCTGCCGGGACATCGGGAAGCAGAGATGAGGGGAGGCCTGATTTAGTGACACGGAGGTTGGGGGGAGGTGACTGTGGTGGAGTGAGGGGGAGCCCCAGGCTTACGGATGGCCCCAGCGAAGTAGAGAGATCCTTCTGGAATGTTGGCATGGTGGCTTTGAAGAAAGAGAGCCACATAAAGAAAGAGACAGAGAAAGGCATCACACGCACAACACACACATACACACACACACACACACAAACACACACACACACACATACACACACATACACGCACACACACACTCGAGAAATCAGGTGCCCAGGCCCCAGAGGAGTCCGGGTTGGACCCCAGGGAACAGGTGGCTTTGGCCCAGGACCGGCTGTGGCCGCCCCATCTCTGGAGCCAAGTTCAGGTGGGCAAGGTGGGGAGGGACACAGGTTCAGGCCCAGGCCACAGGTGCAGCTGCAGCTTGTGAGGCTCCCAGTGCCTCCCCTGGCCTCAGTTTCCCATCAGCACGGTGGGCCCGCCAGGCTATGTGTCTGGGGCGGAGCCAGGCCTGTGGCCGCTGCAGGGACAGGGCTGGGGGGAAGGGAGACGTAATTCCCCGACGGCCTCATCAGGAGCTGCTTCAGGTCTCGGGCCGCAATTAACTAATTGGCCAGGTGGGTTAAGAGGCCGCAGGAAGGATTCGGCATGAGGTGCAGGGGGCTTTGGGCGACTTAGCCGGACAGGCAGAAGCCGCAGACGCTGTGTCAGCTTAGAGGGCCAGATTAGGAGCGTGGGCCAAGCGGGCAGGGCCACGGGGACAGGTGCTTCCCTGCCTCGGATTAGCCAGGGGCCCTTCCAGACTCCACCCTTCAATTTTCCCCCAGAAAGAACCACTAACCTGCTTCAGGTGCTGCTGAGGGAAGTGAAGCTGAAGGGCGTGCAGGGCTTTAAGGGGCCACATAGGAGGTCGGCGTGACCTTGGGACATTTCTGTCTCAGCTCAGGCTCTGCTTGGGCAAAATGGGAGGGTGGCCTGGGAGCCCTGGGGTGGGGGCTGTGCCCAGCCTGGCCAGAGACCTCTCTCTGTGTGTATCCTCAAGGGCTGGCTTCATGGGAAACTCAGCTGAGAGCCCAGCAATAATGGAGTGCCAGCTGTATGCCTGCCTTCTCGGTGCCCCTCTCTTCACCGCTGTGGGTGCTTGGGGCCCTCACGCCCCTCTGGGAAAAGGTGCCTGTTGGCTGGAGGAGGCTGCTGAGGCCCAGAGAGGGAAAAAGCCCTTGTCTGCCCAGGACTTTTCTGGTTTTAGCACTGAAGTCCCACAGCCTGGACCAGCCCTCAGCCCTGAGGAAACCAGGGCGGTCACTCCAGGACCAGCATCACACAGCTAGGGGGCGAGGCAGGACTGAACCCGTGCATGCAGACTCGAAACCTCGGCCCACTGTGCCAGAGTGGACAGGAGGGCCAGTGTGTCCCCGTGAATCTGTCCCCCAGCGTCACTGGCTCAGCCACCTAGGTCCCTGGACATTTGGCCTGCCTTTGTTCAAGGGCAGTGTCATCTGAGAGCTGTCACTGCAGAAGCTGTGGGGAGGCTCAGGGCCCAGAGGGCCAGCACACAGTCAGCCTGAGACAGAGGCTGGGGCGTCTGCGCTCTCAAGCTCCTGGGCCAGCTTCTCGGCCAGCTTGTGGACGGGTGGCCAGTGGGTGAACTCTGCCTCCTGGCATCTGCTCATGGGGACGTGCGTGGGGCCTGGACAGCCGTCAGGGGGCTCCATGCGGTACCCCTTCTCCACAGCCCCTGCCACCTCCTTCCGCCTGGGTTTGTTGAGTGTAGGGGAGGGGTGGATGGATGCGTGCATGGACGGTGGGTAGGGACACAGATTGATGGATCAGGGGTGAGTGGATCAGTGGACCAGTGGATGGAGAGATGGATGAACAGACACCTGGAAGGGTGGATGGATGACATGAGGATGGGTGGGGAGGTGGGTAGGTAAGTGGATGGGTTGGTGGATGGATGGATGGGTGGATCAGGAGATGGTGAGTGGATGGATAGACGGACGGATGGACGATTAAGTGGATGGGTGGATGGATATATGGGTGGATGGATGAGTGGATAGGTGAATGGATGGATAGACGGGTGACTGGACAGGTTAGATGTGTGGGTGGATGGACACGGGTGGATGGATGGATGAATGGATGATGGATGGTGGGTGTATGATTTGTGTGTGAATGAGTAGGTGGATGGGTGGACACATGGGTGGATGGGTGGATGGATGATGGGTGGATGGATGGAAGGGTGAATGGATGGGTGGATGATGGGTGTGTGGGTGGATGGATGGGTGGATGGGTGTGTGGGTGGATGGATGGGTGGATGATGGGTGTATGGGTGAATGGATGAGTGGATAGATGGATGGATGGATGGGTAGATGGATAGATGTGTGGATGGATGGCTGAGTGGATGGATGAATGGGTGAATGGATGGGTGGATGATGGGTGTGTGGGTGGATGGATGGATGAGTGGACAGGTAGGTGTGTGGGTGGACGGATGGGTGGATGTCTGGGTAGGTGGATGGACATATGGGTGGATGAACAGGTGGGTACAGGGTGAATGGATGACTGGGAGGATGGATGAATGAGTGGATGGCAGGTGGACGGTGTGTAGGTGATGGACAGGTGGGGACTGTGGCTGGGTGGATAGGTTACTGGTGGGTAGACGCTTGGATCAGGGGATGGTGGGAGGACAGCTGGGAGGGTGGATGGGTGAGATTTTCATGACTGGTTCAGGCCGGCATGAAAGAAGCAGAAGTGAGGGAGATGTAGAAGTCGGGGGGCTGGATCGGGAAGGGAGGGGAATGAAACCGGGGCTGTGGACCAGATCCAGGCTCTACCACGTCTCCCTGGGGCAACCCAATGTGAGCAACCTGCCCTCTCTGGGCCTCAGTGTCCTCATCTGTGAAATGGGTATAATCTTGGCATTCACCTCCAGTGGCATTTTTGGGATTTGACCTGATACCATTGGACATGGTGCCTGGCCATGAACGGGGAGGAAGGAGGAGGAGGAGGAGGGTGGCCTCCCCAGGCCATCCCTAAGGGGCTGCTGCCACACTCACAGACCCTCCCGGGGGTCCCATCATGGGGGCTCCATCATGGGGGCTACCATAGGGTTGTGGGGCACTGGGGCCTGAGAAACAGATGTGGTGGGAGGGGAGATTTGGACCTTGAGGGCTGTGGGCAGCCTAGCAAGATCCTTTAAGCCTGGGACCCCATGGGTCGGGACGGGGTCTCCGCCACTGAATACCACATCCCTTGGGGAACTGCAGTGGGGAACCCATGGGCAATGGCAAGTGGGTCCCTGCCCAGAACTCCCCAGGGCACCATGTCCCCACAGTGGCCAGCGGGCCAGTTCCAGCTGGGCAGATCCTCCATGGGCAGAGGTGGGGAACGGAGACACGCCTGGAGGCAGGAGCAGGGCCTTAGGGCCAGTGGGTGCTCAAGACTCGGCCAAGGATCCCATCGGGTGGGCTGCGGCAAGTTCCTCAGAGTAGGGAAGGAGCGCTGGGGCTGGGCACCCAGGGTGGACCTCTGCGGGAGGACCCAGGATGCCTGGTGCCTGGGGGTGTCAGAGAGCAGATCGCCAAGGATGGGCCCGCGGAAGAGGGCATGGGGACACAGAGAGACACAGGCGCCCACAGTCCTTGGAATCCATCTTTATCGGGGCGATCATCCTTCGCTTTCGCAGGTCTGGGGTGTCCATGGGCCGCCCGGAGCCCCCTACGCGGGCCAGCCCCTGCTGTGGGCACCAGGAGGACACCTCGCTGGCCTGGACCCTCCTTGGGCCTGACCGGTGCTCCCATGCCGCACTCCCCACTCTCTCGGTCCTCTGGGGCCAGAGGCCCTGCCGGGTGGGGTCAGGGCTCCTGGCTTCGGGGCGAGGTGGAGCCGTCGGCGTCCTGCCCTGAGACGGAGGCCGGGGCGCCCGCGCTGCGCAGCTCCCGGCCCAGCTTCTCTGCCAGCTTGCGGAAGGGCGGCCGTCGGGCAGGCTCCGCCTCCCAGCAGCTGCTCATAAGGATGTGCACGGGGCCTGGACAGCCCTCGGGGGGTTCCATGCGGTACCCCTTCTCCACAGCCTCTGACACCTCCTTCAGTGACTGCAGACGGCAGGCGTGGGCAGGGGTCAGGGCCACGGTCCCAGGACCTGCCCGGAACCCAGTGCCTCCTTGGGGACCCTGCTCACCATTTTAGGGTACGGAGCCCGTCCATAGGAGAAGACCTCCCAGAGCAGCACCCCGAAACTCCAGACATCCGACTTGCTGGTGAACTTCTGTGGGACCCAAGACGGGTGTGAGGAGGGGCCCCGTCGGGGCTTCTGCTCCAGCCCCTGCTTCCTCTAGGAAGCTCTCCTTGATTGATCTCTCTCTCTGGTCTGTTCCTCATTGATTCCTCCCCCACGCCGCCCACAGTTGAGTCCAGCTCAGCCTCAGTGCAGGAAGGAAGCCTGGTTATTCTTCCCCTCAGTCCTGAGCCCACGCCTGTTTCAGAGCTGGAGAAACTGAGGCCCAGAGGGGGCCACAAGGAACAATTGTGGGCTGAGAGCTTCCTGGGGAGGCAGAACCATCGCTCTTGGAGGTTCCAAGGGGCCAAGTGACATACCCAGGGTCACACAGCAGAGCTGGGGGGACAGGTCTCCTCAGACCCCTAAAGCCCCAGGGGTGGGTGAAGGGGGACTCACCCCGTGTTTGAGAGCCTCGGGCGCCGTCCACTTGACAGGCAGCCGGCTTGAGTCCAGCCCCTTCCGCTCTGCTTTGGCTAGGCCAAAGTCGCTGACCTTGGCCACCAGGTCCTCGGAGACCAGGATGTTGCGGGCGGCCAGGTCACGGTGCACCAGTTTCTTGCTCTCCAGGTACTCCATGCCCTCGGCCACGTGCCTGGGGGTAGCGGGGGCAGCGGGGGCTCAGGTGCCATGACGCCTGCATTCAGGGCTCAGAAAATTCTGGGTGCCCGGGCCACAAACTCACAAAGCCTGACTGCCCCGTGCCTCAGTGTCCCCTTGATGGATCTTGGGGTCCATTCCCGACCACCCCCGTGCCCCAGCACCCCGAGAGCCCCACTCACAGAGAAAACTGCAGGAGCTGGGCAGTGTTCACGAGGGCTCGGCCCCGGGTCCGCAGAAAGTTCACCAGGTTGCCCTGTTGGGTGGGGTGGGAGACGGCTGGGGGTGTTGGGACTGCCCGGCTGCGTGTGCCCGCTCCCTGCCGGGGCCCCGCCCCACCTTGCTCACGTGCTCCATGACGATGTACAGTCCCTGGTGCAGGATCACGCCCAGGAGACGCACCAGGTTCTTGTGCTGCATCTTCCTGGGGGCGGTGGGGTGGGCGTGAGGGCGGAGCTGGGAGCCCCCATCCCAGGATCCCCGACCCCCACCCCGGGACTCACGTCATGACGGCTGTCTCATCCAGGAAGGCTTGGGCCGTCACGTCACACTTGATGTTCTTCACGGCCACCTTTTGCCCCAGATACTCACCCTGCAGGACGGCTGGGGGTGGGGGTGGGGGTGGGGAACGGGGCAAGATCAGGACCCCCAACAGAGACAGGGACGGAGAGACAGGCAGACAGACCCACTCACGCCGATGCCTGTGTAACATTCACACAGCGGTGAGTCCCCAGACCTTGAAATGCAGCCCCCACGCTCCCAATCCTCCCAGCCCTCACAAGCTCCTGGAGACCCAAAATCAAAGAGAACCATCTGGCCGGGCGCGGTGGCTCACACCTGTCATCCCGGCACTTTGGGAGGCCGAGGTAGGTGGATCACCTGAGGTCAGAAATTAAAGACCAGACTGACCAACATGGAGAAACTCCGTCTCTACTAAAAATACAAAATTAGACTGGCATGGTGACACATGCCAGTAATCCCAGCTACTCTGGTGGCTGAGGCAGGAGAATCGCTTGAACCCAGGAGGTAGAGGGTGCAGTGAGCCAAGATCACATCACTGCACTCCAGCCTGGGCAACAAGAACAAAATTCCATCTCAAAAATAAAAAAGAGAACCATCTAAGCGAGGGGTCTTCGAACCTCTACCTGCCAGGGGCCAAATGTACTGTCACCTCTTTTTGCAAGGCTCTTGAGCTCAAAATGTTTTTTTGCATTTTTATTTTTAAAATATTGATTGATTAGGACAGAGTCTTATCCGTGTGGCGTGCAGTGGCATGATCACAGCTCACTGCAGCTTCAAATTCCTGAGCTCAAGGGATCCTCCCATCCCAGCCTCCCGAGTAGCTAGGACTACAGGCATACTCCACCATGCCTGGCTAATTTTTTTTTTTTTTTTTTTTTGAGATGCGGGTCTTGCTACGTTGCCCAGGCTGGATCTGAACTCCTGAGCTCAAGGGATCCACCTTCCCCGACCTCCCAGAGTGCTGGGATTCCAGGCATGAGCCACCGCACCTGGCTGGTTTTTGCATCTTTAAATTATTGGAAAGACAAATCAGAAGATAAGTACTGTTTCAGGATATGTGAGCATTATATGAAATTCAAATTTCTCGGCCATAGTTTTCACGGCCACGCCCATACGTTTACATATTGTCCGTGGTTGCCTTCACTCCACAAGGGCAGGCTTGAGTAGTTGTGACAAGAGCTACGTGACCCACAAAGGAGAAAATATTGACAGTCTGGGCTTTTACAGAGAGTCTGCCGACCCCTGATCGACACCCCAGAGCCTTCCCGAATAGTAAATTCAGGGGATGGTGTTCCAAGCAGAGGGACTGACTATACAAGGGCCTGGAAGTGTGAAGAACTCACTAACATTGACTGGGCGCCTGCTTGAGTTAATTTACTCCTCATGGCATCTGCCGTTACCTCCTGTTGCAGAGGGGGATATTGAGGCTCAGGCGATTTGGGTGTCCTCAGGTGCACAGCTAGTAGACGGTTAAGTATGGTTTGAATTCAGCTCTGTGACTCCAAAGCCTCAATATGCACCCTCTACCATTCTTTTTTTTTTTTTTTTTTTCTTTGAGGCGGAGTTTCGCTCTTGTTACCCAGGCTGGAGTGCAATGGCGCGATCTCGGCTCACCGCAACCTCCGCCTCCTGGGTTCAGGCAATTCTCCTGCCTCAGCCTCCTGAGTAGCTGGGATTACAGGCGCGCGCCACCATGCCCAGCTAATGTTTTGTATTTTTAGTAGAGACGGGGTTTCACCGTGTTGACCAGGATGGTCTTGATCTCTTGACCTCATGATCCACCCACCTCGGCCTCCCAAAGTGCTGGGATTACAGGCCTGAGCCACCGCGCCCGGCCCACCCTCTACCTTTCTTCAGCACCCCCAACCCAGTCCGTCCACTCACCTCCAAACTCGCCCTCTCCGATCTGCGCCCCCAGTGTCAAATGCTGCAGGTTCAGCAACCAGCCCGCTGTGGAGTGAAGACCCAGTCAGGGCGGTAATGGGCCCCCCAAACCCCCCCACTGGGGGGTTCTACTTGGTGAGACTAGGTGATATCTCACAGTGCTGCAGCTGTGGATACCCATGTGATTGGCTGCCGGGCCTGGCAATGCCCCTGGGACAGATCAGAGACACCCCACTCCTGGTACCAATTATTGTTGGAAGCAACAGAACTATCTCAGGCTGACCTGAGCAAAAAGGAGCTTGCAGGAGGGACAGTGGGGTGAATGGTCAAAGCTGGGGGCCTGGCTGAGACCCTCAGACTCCACACTTGCCCTCCAGGAACTCCCTGTCAGGCCCAGGGGGCAGTGCCAGGAAACATTTCAGGTCTCAGAGATAAAAGCTGCCCTTTTCTCTTTGGCTACCTGGAGACCTCTTGTCCCTCCAAATACCCTCTGGGCTCTTCCCTACATAGTCCTTTACCTCTGACCACCCAGAAACACACACAGGGCAAAAGAATAAATAAAAATAAAATAAAAACCCATAAAGGTTCCAGAATATTCCAGGGGTCTGGCCTCCCTGACCCTTCTCCCAAGCACTTCTGTGTTGGCCCCTCCACTGTCCTCTGGTTGGTTCTGCAGGCTTCCCCCTCTCCCTCCAGAAAGCGCCCCCTCCAAATGTGGTGCCCTTAAGGGATCATTGGTCAGGGTGATGCTAGTCTCCACTTGGGTGCCATCCCTGATGGGTACAGATTTCCCCAGGAGAGACACACTTCCAAGGAGACAGACATAGGGTGGGAGGAGGCATTTGCTTTTGACCTTAAATATTGAGGATTTCACTACTCGGGGGCTGGAAAAGCATTGTAGGCGAAGGGAACGGAATAAACAATGGCTCAGAGGCATGAAGGAAACGATCACAGTTGACTTGGGAGGGGTGGATGCGTGGAGGAAGGGCTTTGCAGATGAGGCTGGAAGGGTGGCTCAGGCCATGCGGGCAGGTTCTGGAAGGCAGGAGAGCTGCAGGCCTCTCTCCCTGGAGGCACGATTTCATGATAGAAAGATAACCCTGGGGCTGTACTCAAGGCCTGGCCTGGAAGGGGTACTTGTCCCCTGGGAAGGAGGTGGTCTGATGAGAGGGACTGAGCCTGGGCTGTGGGGAGGGGAGGGGAGCAGAGTCACCAGGTGTTAGGAACCTGGCCAAAGAGGGAATGCTGGAGGGGGAGGTGGGTGGAGGTTCCGGGCCAGGTTTCTGGCTCAGATGATATGGTGGATGATGGTGACAGAGATGAGCAGCAAAGGTGGGGGCCTAGTGAATAAGGGACTGATCGGCATCTGTGGACCCCCAAGGCAGCCCAGGTCTTCTATCCCATAGCTGCGCATGGGGGCAGGCTTGGGTGATCTGGCCTTAGAGGCCCAGGGCCCCAGGGTTCTTCCTCCTGGGCTGCTCTAACGTTGGGGGGAAGGAGGTGTGCCCTCCCGGGCGTCCCCTACCCCTGGCCAGCTCCTCCTCAGCCGACTTGGTCCCGTGCTTCCGCTTTGGCCTCACCAGCTTGGTGCAGATGGCGCCCTTGTCCTTGGTGTAATGCTGCAGGATACAGGGGTGGCCGTGAGCCCTGCCCCAGGGCAGGGAACCCCGGCGTCCTGTCCCTCTCCCTGGTGGGCTCTGGGTGGGGTGGGTGGGACCAGGGAGGAGAAGAGAGGCTGGTTTCCATGGGAATGGGAAAAGAGGCAGGCCAAAAGGAGCAGAGGTCCTCTGGATTGGTGTCAACTTGGGGAGTCCTGGGGGTCCCCAAAGAAGTCATCCTAGTCCCTGGAGGTAAAACCAGGCTGACTCAGATCCCCTGTAGGACGGGCAGTCCTTAGGGATCAGCCCCCTCATTTCTGCATTAGGGAGGATCCTAGCGTGGGGGTCCCCATGTCTGCCCATCTGAGATGGAGTGGGGGTCTGGGGGACCCAGGGAATACCCCCTTCATCTCCATATTGGAGAAGCGCAGAGCTCAGGGTGTCCTGGGTGGTCAGCACAGGAGGTAGGGATGGTGTCTGCCCAGCTGCTGGGGAGGGGATGGGGCTGTGGAGGTCAGGTGACCAGCCCCTCCATCTCTACACAGGAGAGTCTCGGGGATCCCGGGGGCTACCCCCCTGCAGGGATGGGGTGGGGTCTCCGGGTGGCAGCACCTCCACCATGTCCATGAGGTTGCAGAAGAACACGGCCTCGTCGATGGTGAGGTGCCCGTCGCGGTGCAGCACGCGGTAGTGGATGACGTCGCGGCCGAAGCTCACGCACAGGACATAGTCGCCAGGGTGGCGCGCGGACTCTCGCACCAGGAACAGCCCGTCCTCGGGCGGCTGCAGCTGCTGGACTGCCTCCTGGCCGGAGATCTTCCCGTGGAACCACCTGTGGCCACGGACGGGGTGGGTCAGGCCGGGCTGTGGACCAGGCAGGGGGTCACCTCCTGCCCCCGACCCCAGGCCCCCGTCCCACCCACTCACGGCATGAGGCTGAGCTTGGGGTCAGCGGAGAGGGCCTCCCGCTCCCGCAGCGCCCCGGCTGCCAGCAGCCCCTCTTGCCCGCTGGTGTGGTGCTTGGCGCGGTACCAGCTCTTGTTCTGCCAGGGAGGAAGCACGGGGTCGGTGTGGCGGGTGGGGTGGGGGTCCTGGGGGAGCCCTCATCCCCAAGCACCCACGCCCACCACCCGCCACTCACCTCGCAGGCTTCCAGGATGGTGACCACGTCTCCCTTGCGGAAGGCCAGCTCCCCCGGCTTGGGGCGGGTGTGCTCGCATTTTGTGATACACTGGGTGCCCGGGGTCCAGCGCCTCTGCAGAGGGGGGCCGGAGGCGGGGAGGGGGGACATCACGGAGATGTGGGGAGCAGAGGCACAGGAGGCGAGAGAGGACAGGAGGGAGAAAGGCATGGAGACTGGGAAACAGCAGAGAGGCAGACACCGGGGAAGGAGGGAGACGGGAGAGCGGGGCTCACAGAAAGAAATCGTAGAGTCACAAACAGAGGCGGGACTCGGGGGCTCACACCTGTAATCCCAGCACTTTGGGAGGCCGAGATGGGTGGATCACCTGAGGTCAGGAGTTTGAGACCAGCCTGGCCAACATGGAGAAACCCTGTCTCTACTAAACATACAAAAAAATTAGCTGGGCGTTCTGGCAGGCTCCTGTAATCCCAGCTACTTGGGAGGCTGAGGCAAGAGAACTGCTTAAACCCAGGAACTGGAGGTTGCGGTGAGCCGAGATTGCGCCACTGCACTCCAGCCTGGGTGACAGAGTGGGACTCCGTCTCAAAAAAAAAAAAAAAAGGGTCACAAACAGGGGGGGCCCGGGACAGAAGGTCAGGATGCCAAGGTGACTGAGAAAGACCAGGCAGAGTCCAGCAAGGGGGATAGGGGGCAGAGAGGACAGCCCCTCAGGAAGGACTGACCTGAAGGACCAAGGGCAGAGGAATCGGCTGGACACACTCACCGTTGGCATCCTGGCTGAGACGGGTGGGGGGTGCCAGGCTCGGAGGAAGCAGGGGCTCACCTGGGGAAGGGGTAGAGTCCAGATGGGAGAGAGCTGGGCTAGGACCCAGGGTCCAGTTCCTACCACTTCCTCCCCAGGCCAGGTGGGGATGACGGCAGGGCGGGGGCGGGGGGGGGGAGGGCAGAGAGAGCCCCCCAGAGGCATCCCAGGTGGGACCCAGAGCTGGCTCCCCTAACCCCTTCTGGGAGGTGATCTTTACCCGGGGAAGTTCCTTAGCAGAATCACAGCCATGAAATGCCCGCCAGGAAACCAGGGAGCCTCGCCCCGCCATCGCCCCCAGAGGGAAACTGAGGCAGGGGAGAGGCGCACTGAGCAAGTGGCCACAGCTGGGGGCGCTGGGAATGGCCTGCCACAGGCTGGGTGGCTGGCACAGGAGGCAGGGAGCTGGGTGCCACCGGATCGAGCCTGGTTCTTCCTCTTTTCTGGTGAGTAGGCAGAGGCAGGGTGGGAAGACAGGGATGAGTCAAGGTCATTCCCAAGAATCTCTGACCCTGGGGTGGAGCTGGGGCCAGGGGCGGGTCCTGCAGCCCTACTGGGCTCCTCTGGCCACCGGCTGAGACTCTCTGATTCCCCCCCACACACACAAACCCAGGACAGGCACACAACGTCCCTCATTGCTGCAGGAGTGGGGGACCCTCCCTGCCTCCCTCATCTCCCCAATTGCTGGTCGATGGGAAGTGGAGGGTGTTGGGGGGGTGAGTCTCAGCCCCTCCAATATGCGCCTCCCCTGAAATCCTCCAGTCCCACGTGTACTCACACGCATACAGATGCATGCACACGCACAGAAACGCACGGGGCTCGGACGCAGGTGCGCGCAGATAAGCAAAGGACCCTATTCACCTGGAAACAGGTGTGTGCACACGTCCCTGCGCGGACGCGCGCCCAGGCACCCCACACCCGGGAACGTGCGCACCTGTCCCCAGCCCCCGGAACACACACACAGCCACCCCACACTGCAACACCTGGGCGCCAGCGCCAGGCCACCCAGGCACGCAGGGCGCCACGCAGGGCCGCGCACACGCATCTCGGCCACACACGCGCACAGCCCTCCACGTGGACGCGCGGGTACACACGCCCGGGGCTCGCAGCCGCGCACACCCGCACCCGGGAACCCCCTGCCACCGCCACGCCGGGTCCGATCGCCTCAGAGCACCCTCCGCCCCAGCCGCGCACCCGCCGCGCCCCCGGGACGCGCACACTCGCGCGCACACCGGCCCTTCGTGCGCAAGTCCCGGGCCCACCCCCGCCCCGAGCCCTCGGGGTTTCCCCCACCCTGGCCTAGGAGTGTCCCACCTCTCCCCGCGGACACGCTCACCTGCTCAGGGGGCGCCCCCGGGCCGCGCCCCGCGCCCGCCCCCAGGAGGGCCTCCGCGAGCCGGCTGCGCACCCCGAGGCGGTCCCGGCTGCACAACTTGGAGCGAGTTGCTCCGTTTCCTCATTTTGGGGGCGAAGGAGGGTCGGGCAGTGGGGGTAAGCGGGAGGCGCCGCGGCCTGGGAGGCCCCCGCGGGTCCTAGCGCCCGCCGCACTGCGGTCTGCTCCGCGCGCCGCCGCCGCCGCCGCCGCCGCCGGCCCCTCCCCGCCCCGCCCCCGCGGCCCCCGGCGCCTCTCGAGCGCCCCGGGCGGGGTCCACGCCTGGCGCTAACCTGGCTCCAACCTGGCTCCGTCTGGTGTGCACCCCCCACCCATCCTGGGAAGCGGGGTTCTTGGGAGCGGGGGCTGGGGGGTGAGGGAGAGTGAGCTGCCCGTCCGGGGAGGTAAGCAAGGCGCCCAGCCCAGACACCCAGAGGGCCCTTCGCACTCTGCAATTTCAACTCCCTCCGTGCAGCCCATTTTAGCACCCAGCGCCTCAGAGAGCTATTTGTGGTTGACCAAAAAAGAGCCCCCCAAAATGTCAGCCACTGTGGATATCATTATCATCATCAACATTAAGAGAAAATTCGGGTAACAGCATCCTCGGAAGCTGCAGTCGTCCGGATGCAAACTTCTTAGACCAGCCCTCCTTGGAGGGTAAAAGGGGGTTCTGGGAGTTGGGGGGTCCTGGCTCTGCCCAGAGAGGCAGGAGCTACCCATTTTCCAGCCAGGAGCGCCTCCTCCATAGGGAGGTGGGGGCCCCACCCGCTTCCGCCTCACGGAAGAGTTTGCGCTCACGTGGTCCTGGAGGACAGGGCCCTGCCCTAGCGATGGCTTCGTGGTTCCGGTGACCAAACCACCCAATCCACTTTCACCCAATACAGGTCCTTATCTTTTTTTAAATTTTTTTGAGACAGGGACTCCCTCTGTCCCTGTCCCTCAGGCTGGAGTGCAGTGGCATGATCATAGCTAATTACAGCCTTGACCACCTGGGCTCAAGCCCGCCTCCTGCCTCAGCCTGGGGAGTAGCTGGGACTACAGGGTCATTTTTTCCCCCAACTTTTTGTAGACATGAAGTTTCACTTTGTTGCCCAGGCTGGTCTTGGACTCCTGGGATCAAGTGATCCTCCCGCCTCGGCCTCCCAAAGGCTGGGATGACAGGCGCGAGTCACCACGTCCGGCACCTTATCTCCTTTCTAAGGGATGGGTCCTCTAAAACAAAGATGAAGCTCATCTCAGGAGGGCAATGAACCAAGGCGCCCAGGTGGCCTGCACCCATATTTAATCTTCTGTTACCCCAAAAGGCTAAGTGTCTGGACTTGGAGGTGTCATGCGATTTTGGGGGGAGCAGAGGCCCAGATACAACAGAATTACAAACAGCTGTATTAAGGAACTTAGGCAGCAGACTAGGCAACTATATTATTATTATTAGAGATGGAGGTCTCTCTGTGTTGCCCAGCGGGCCTCAAACTCCTGGGCTCAAGCGACCCTCCTGCTAGGTCTCCCCTTTGCTGGGACTACAGGTGCACACCACAGTGCCTGGCTAGACCACACTATTATATATTATGTTATATTACATTATATGTATTTTATTATATATTATATACGTGGATCATCCAGGGTGCCCTCCCATCTCTGTAGCAACAATTTAATCCCATCTACAGGCCGGGCGCGGTGGCTCACGCCTGTAATCCCAGCACTTTGGGAAGCCGAGGTGGGCGGATCACCTGAGGTCAGGAGCTCCAGACCAGTCTGGCCAACATGTAGAAACCCTGTCTCTACTGAAAATACAAAAATTAGTCAGGTGCAGTGGCAGGTGCTTGTAATTTCAGCTACTCTGGAGGCTGAGGTAGGAGAATTGTTTGAACCTGGGTGGCAGAGGTTGCAGTGAGCCGAGATCTCACCTCTGTACTCCAGCCTGGGAGACAGAGAGAGACTCTGTTTCAAAAAAAAAAAAAAAAAAAAAAAAGGGAGAGAGAGAGGAAGTCTCCAGTTGTCAGAAACAACCTCACCAGCCGGGCGCAGTGGCTCAAGCCTGTAATCCCAGCACTGTGGGAGGCCGAGGCGGGTGGATCACGAGGTCAAGAGATCGAGACCATCCTGGTCAACAGGGTGAAAACCCGTCCCTACTAAAAATACAAAACATTAGCTGGGCATGGTGGCACGTGCCTGTAATCCCAGCTACTCAGGAGGCTGAGGCAGGAGAATTGCCTGAACCCAGGAGGCGGAGGTTGCGGTGAGCCGAGATCGCGCCATTGCACTCCAGCCTGGGTAACAAGAGCGAAACTCCGTCTAAAAAAAAATAAAAAAAAAAAAAAAAAAAAAGAAATAATAGAGATGGGGTCTGGCTACGTTGCCCAGTCTCAAACTCCTGCACTGAAACGTTCCTCCTACCTCGGCCTCCCAAAGTGCTGGGATCACAGATGTGAGCCACTGCACGATCTCAGCTCACTGTGACCTCTGCCTCCCAGTTTCACGCAATTCTCCTGTCTCAGCCTCCTGAGTAGCTGGGACTACAGGTGCACGGCATCACACACAGCTAATATTTGTACCTTTAGTAGAAACAGGGTTTCACCATATTGTTTGGGCTGGTCTCAAGCTCCTGACCTCAGATGATACACCCACCTTGGCCTTCCAAAGTGCTGGGATTATAGGCGTGAGCGACCGTGCCTGGTCTACTGGCCTCAACTTTCCTTCATGGAGTTGTAATTTACTCTTTGAAGATCTTTGCGGGGGGGGGGGCTGGGCGCAGTGGCTCACGCCTGTAATCCCAGCACTTTGGGAGGCTGAGGCGGGAAGATCACCTGGGGTCCGGAGTTCAAGACCAGCCTGACCAACATGGAGAAACCCAGCCTCTACTAAAAATACAAAAATTAGCCAGGCGTGGTGGCAGGCGCCTGTAATCCCAGCTATCCAGGAGGCTGAGGCAGGAGAATCGCTTGAACCCGCGAGGTGGAGGTTGTGGTGAGCCGAGATCACGGCACTGACTCCAGCCTGGGCAACAAGAGTGAGACTCCATCTCAAAAAAAAAAAAAATCTTTGAGGAGGATGCCCCTGTGTCTACGATTTTAGCACCCACAGCTTTATGGATCTGGCTGTGCAATAGTCTAGGATGTGGCTCCCCGGAAGGGGCTGGGGACCCTGCAGCTGTCTCTGTCACGGTCACTACGGGCCCACCTTATAGGAGAAACCACCGTCGCTTGCCTCAGCTAGAAGCGTTACGTCAAAATACCTGCAGCGGAAACCCCAGCCGCCTCATTTGTTTCTCACCAGAAGCTGCTGCTGACCACAGGTCCCTCGCTGAGGTCTGCCTTCTCTTCGTTCAGCAGGGAAACGTCCCGGCATGAGAGGGATGTTTAAGAAACTCCAGCAGCCACGGAGACTTTCTCCTCTTCCTCTCTCTGCAGATGAGTGGTATTTAGCGTCAGTCCTCCCAAGCAGCCCCAGGGCTCCTGGTGGGAGGCCTCACCCCAGAAGAAATAATAAGAGGAACCAAGGGTATTGAGTCCAGAGGGTGGACTTCGGGACCTGCTTCGGGCTCCCAAATCGCCAAGGGCTGCTCTGGGGTGCAGGGAGCTCCCCCGCAGAGTAGAGACATAGACACTGAGCTGTGCCTGACTCTATGGGGACAGATTTGAGCCTGTGGTTTATCTGAATCTGCAGAGCCACAGAAGGGGTAGCCTCAGGAGGAGGTGAGCCCCCTGTCCTGGGAGGCATCCAAGAGTTGGCCACTTTGCTTTTTTTTTTTTTTTGTGACAGAGTCTTGCTCTGTCACCCAGGCTGGAGTGCAGTGGCGCAACCTTGGGTCACTGCGACCTCCACCTCCTAGGTTCAAGCGATTCTCCTGCCTCAGCCTCCGAAGTAGCTGGGATTACAGGCACATGCCACCACGCCCAGCTAACCTGTGATTGATTGATTGATTGATATTGACTGATTGTCTTTGAGATGGAGTTTCACTCCTGTCATTGCAGGCTGGAGTGCAGTGGTATGATCTCGGCTCACCGCAACCTTCACCTCCCAGGTTCAAGCGATTCTCCTGCCTCAGCCTCCTGAGTAGC